CACTTTGCCAACAATACAATAGGACGCACATGGTCAATGAAAAAGGTTGAACAGTGTATAGACCAATGAAATCTAGTGTTTGGAGCAGGAGTTGAACCAGCGACCTTTGGACCACAGCGTTTCAGGAACTTCTTAAAGTCATGTGCTCTACCAACTGAGCTATGAAGGTGCTTATAGATACAAACGCAGAAAACATAGTGGCTTCGGCGACACACTTTGCCAACAATACAATTGGACCCACATGGTCAATGAAAAAGGTTGAACAGTGCATAGACCAATGAAATCTGGTGTTTGGAGCTGGAGTTGAACCAGCCACCTTTGGACCACAGCGTTTCAGGAACTTCTTACAGTACTCTGCTCTACCAACTGAGCTATGAAGGTGCTTATAGATACAAACGCAGAAAACATAGTGGCTTCGGCGACACACTTTGCCAACAATATAATTGGACTCACATGGTCAATGAAAAAGGTTGAACAGTGCATAGACCAATGAAATATGGTGTTTGGAGCAGGAGTTGAACCAGCGACCTTTGGAACACAGCGTTTCAGGAACTTCTTAAAGTCATGTGCTCTACCAACTGAGCTATGAAGGTGCTTATAGATAGAAACGCAGAAAACATAGTGGCTTTGGCGACACACTTTGCCAACAATACAATTGGACCCACATGGTCAATGAAAAAGGTTGAACAGTGCATATACCAATGAAATCTGGTGCTTTGAGCTGGAGTTGAACCAGCGACCTTTGGACCACAGCGTTTCAGAAACTTCTTACAGTACTCTGCTCTACCAACTGAGCTATGAAGCTGCTCATAGACACAACTGCAGAAAACATAGTGGCTTCGGCGACACACTTTGCCAACAATACAATTGGACCCGCATGGTCAATGAAAAAGGTTGAACAGTGCATAGACCAATGAAATCTAGTGTTTGGAGCAGGAGTTGAAACAGCGACCTTTGGACCACAGCGTTTCAGGAACTTCTTACAGTACTCTGCTCTACCAACTGAGCTATGAAGGTGCTTATAGATACAAACGCAGAAAACATAGTGGCTTCGGCGACACACTTTGCCAACAATACAATTGGACCCACATGGTCAATGAAAAAGGTTGAACAGTGCATAGACCAATGAAATCTGGTGTTTGGAGCAGGAGTTGAACCAGCGACCTTTGGACCACAGCGTTTCAGGAACTTCTTAAAGTCATGTGCTCTACCAACTGAGCTATGAAGGTGCTTATAGATACAAACGCAGAAAACATAGTGGCTTCGGCGACACACTTTGCCAACAATACAATTGGACCCACATGGTCGATGAAAAAGGTTGAACAGTGCATACACCAATGAAATCTAGTGTTTGGAGCAGTAGTTGAACCAGCGTCCTTTGGACCACAGCGTTTCAGGAACTCCTTAAAGTCATGTGCTCTACCAACTGAGCTATGAAGGTGCTTATATATACAAACGCAGAAAACATAGTGGCTTCGGCGACACACTTTGCCAACAATACAATAGGACGCACATGGTCAATGAAAAAGGTTGAACAGTGTATAGACCAATGAAATCTAGTGTTTGGAGCAGGAGTTGAACCAGCGACCTTTGGACCACAGCGTTTCAGGAACTTCTTACAGTCCTCTGCTCTACCAACTGAGCTATGAAGGTGCTTATAGATACAAACGCAGAAAACATAGTGGCTTCGGCGACACACTTTGCCAACAATACAATTGGACCCACATGGTCAATGAAAAAGGTTGAACAGTGCATAGACCAATGAAATCTGGTGTTTGGAGCTGGAGTTGAACCAGTCACCTTTGGACCACAGCGTTTCAGGAACTTCTTAAAGTCATGTGCTCTACCAACTGAGCTATGAAGGTGCTTATAGATACAAACGCAGAAAACATAGTGGCTTCGGCGACACACTTTGCCAACAATACAATTGGACCCACATGGTCAATGAAAAAGGTTGAACAGTGCATACACCAATGAAATCTAGTGTTTGGAGCAGGAGTTGAACCAGCGACCTTTGGACCACAGCGTTTCAGGAACTTCTTAAAGTCATGTGCTCTACCAACTGAGCTATGAAGCTGCTCATAGACAAAACCGCAGAAAACATAGTGGCTTCGGCGACACACTTTGCCAACAATACAATAGGACGCACATGGTCAATGAAAAAGGTTGAACAGTGCATAGAACAATGAAATCTAGTGTTTGGAGCAGGAGTTGAACCAGCGACCTTTGGACCACAGCGTTTCAGGAACTTCTTAAAGTCATGTGCTCTACCAACTGAGCTATGAAGGTGCTTATAGATACAAACGCAGAAAAATAGTGGCTTCGGCGACACACTTTGCCAACAATACAATAGGACGCACATGGTCAATGAAAAAGGTTGAACAGTGTATAGACCAATGAAATCTAGTGTTTGGAGCAGGAGTTGAACCAGCGACCTTTGGACCACAGCGTTTCAGGAACTTCTTAAAGTCATGTGCTCTACCAACTGAGCTATGCAGGTGCTTATATATACAAATACAGAAAACATAGTGGCTTCGGCGACACACTTTGCCAACAATACAATAGGACGCACATGGTCAATGAAAAAGGTTGAACAGTGCATAGAACAATGAAATCTAGTGTTTGGAGCAGGAGTTGAACCAGCGACCTTTGGACCACAGCATTTCAGGAACTTCTTAAAGTCATGTGCTCTACCAACTGAGCTATGAAGGTGCTTATAGATACAAACGCAGAAAACATAGTGGCTTCGGCGACACACTTTGCCAACAATACAATAGGACGCACATGGTCAATGAAAAAGGTTGAACAGTGCATAGAACAATGAAATCTAGTGTTTGGAGCAGGAGTTAAACCAGCGACCTTTGGACCACAGCGTTTCAGGAACTTCTTAAAGTCATGTGCTCTACCAACTGAGCTATGAAGGTGCTTATAGATACAAACGCAGAAAACATAGTGGCTTCGGCGACACACTTTGCCAACAATACAATAGGACGCACATGGTCAATGAAAAAGGTTGAACAGTGCATAGAACAATGAAATCTAGTGTTTGGAGCAGGAGTTGAACCAGCCACCTTTGGACCACAGCGTTTCAGGAACTTCTTACAGTCATGTGCTCTACCAACTGAGCTATGAAGGTGCTTATAGATACAAACGCAGAAAACATAGTGGCTTTGGCGACACACTTTGCCAACAATACAATTGGACCCACATGGTCAATGAAAAAGGTTGAACAGTGCATATACCAATGAAATCTGGTGCTTTGAGCTGGAGTTGAACCAGCGACCTTTGGACCACAGCGTTTCAGAAACTTCTTAAAGTCCTCTGCTCTACCAACTGAGCTATGAAGCTGCTCATAGACACAACCGCAGAAAACATAGTGGCTTCGGCGACACACTTTGCCAACAATACAATAGGACGCACATGGTCAATGAAAAAGGTTGAACAGTGCATAGACCAATGAAATCTAGTGTTTGGAGCAGGAGTTGAACCAGCGACCTTTGGACCACAGCGTTTCAGGAACTTCTTACAGTACTCTGCTCTACCAACTGAGCTATGAAGGTGCTTATAGATACAAACGCAGAAAACATAGTGGCTTCGGCGACACACTTTGCCAACAATACAATTGGACCCACATGGTCAATGAAAAAGGTTGAACAGTGCATATACCAATGAAATCTGGTGCTTGGAGCTGGAGTTGAACCAGCGACCTTTGGACTACAGCGTTTCAGGAACTTCTTACAGTCCTCTGCTCTACGAACTGAGCTATGAAGCTGCTTATATATACAAATGCAGAAAACATAGTGGCTTCGGTGACACACTTTGCCAACAATACAATAGGACGCACATGGTCAATGAAAAAGGTTGAACAGTGCATAGACCAATGAAATCTAGTGTTTGGAGCAGGAGTTGAACCAGCGACCTTTGGACCACAGCGTTTCTTGAACTTCTTAAAGTCATGTGCTCTACCAACTGAGCTATGCAGGTGCTTATATATACAAATACAGAAAACATAGTGGCTTCGGCGACACACTTTGCCAACAATACAATAGGACGCACATGGTCAATGAAAAAGGTTGAACAGTGCATATACCAATGAAATCTGGTGTTTGGAGCAGGAGTTGAACCAGCGACCTTTGGACCACAGTGTTTCAGGAACTTCTTAAAGTCATGTGCTCTACCAACTGAGCTATGAAGGTGCTTATAGATACAAACGCAGAAAACATAGTGGCTTCGGCGACACACTTTGCCAACAATACAATTGGACCCACATGGTCAATGAAAAAGGTTGAACAGTGCATACACCAATGAAATCTAGTGTTTGGAGCAGGAGTTGAACCAGTGACCTTTGGACCACAGCGTTTCAGGAACTTCTTAAAGTCATGTGCTCTACCAACTGAGCTATGAAGGTGCTTATATATACAAACGCAGAAAACATAGTGGCTTCGGCGACACACTTTGCCAACAATACAATAGGACGCACATGGTCAATGAAAAAGGTTGAACAGTGTATAGACTAATGAAATCTAGT